CATGAAAGCCAGCTGGGTGACTTTGGGCCAATCACTCTCTCTCAGCCCAACTCACCTCACAAGGTTGTTGTTGTGGGGAAAATAGGAGGAAGGAGTATTAGGCATGTTTGCCGCCTTGAGTTATTTATAAAAATAATAATAAAAATTTATAATAATAATAGATAAAAAAAAAAAAATCTAATAGTGTTGCCTGGACATGAAGGTTAGGAGTTTTAACCTGTTCTCTACCAATTAGTCCTGCTTTGGGGCCTCATTCTGTGAGGTCTCATATTCCATGACTCGTATACCAGCCTGTTGTACGGACTGTAGCGTAGAGTCAGGCAAGCTGCAGCCTATAATGTTTTGGATTTCAATTCTACCAGCCCTAGCCAATATGGAGAGAGATCCTGGGAGCTGTAATTCAAAACATCTGCAGGGTAACAGCTTGCTTACCATGCAATGGTGTATAACTACAAACATAATAGTCATTTAGACATACAGGTCTCAAACTGTTTTGTGGTTTCTTATCTTTACCCAGTGTTCAGAAACTAACAGATCAGATGGGAATATTCTACCACTCCACTGCTATTGCCCCTTAAGTAATGTTTTGACTATCGCTTCCCTTCTCTCCTTTCAGGATATCATGGCCTTTTTCATGGTGGTCTTTTCATCAGGCACACTTAGCAGTTTCAGCAGGCAGGCAGTTCAGATGTAACTTGATGGACATTACATTGATGTTAGCAAAGCAAAACCTCAGCCAAATTCATTTTGCAGGAGCTTCTCATTCACTCAAATCTGCATTCGGGTACTACGAAGAAATTCAGGATTTGCTAACATCTGTATGTGCATCCTTCAGTTAAATGCTGTGGGTGATATCAGCTCATTAGTTGCCTGGTTTCTCAACTGGTAGGAGTTTTCAAGTTGAGATTATTCAGGTGCACTGGCAGTGATCCATGGGAAAGCTTGCAAACCCTTCATCTGCACTTTGCCTACCTTAAGCCAGTTGTATTAGTCACACTCAGAAGAAATTTCCTCACAAATATTTGAACACTGGAAGATATTTATATATGTAATTACATGGCATCACCTCAAAGAACTAACTTGCCCACAGACTTACAAATTCAACTTGGGAGTAGCTTTAACATTAACAAGGCAATGCATGTTCTAGTTCTAGGTTTTCTACCATACATATTGCTTGATATAGCCTTAAAGTAAGTGCTTCTGATTAAAATAATGTTGTTTAATGGTTATATTATTTGGATATAATTAGTTGTCACTGATAATCTAGGCTGCTGCAGTCTTGAACAAAGACAGTATGTGTGTCTATTGAGTCTTAGTCCTGATTGATACTACTTATCTCACTTCCTGATTTCAATATTTGATTAGCCCTTCTAGAAATTTGGAGACATATATATTCTTACAACATCATGATGCTGTTGATAACAATTATTTCTACAGTGCTCCAATACAGTAAAACACAGTACACGCTGTATTTCTGGGCTTACAACATGGTTCTTGTCAGGAATTTTACATTATTGTATCTGCTTATCTCATGCCAGTATTTAGCAGACTATTTCTCAATGAAAATATATCAATATGGGAAAAGGGTTGGGAAAGACTAGATAATTATTTTGGGGGAAAATGAACATTTTAAACATTCATACACAGGTAAGACTCTATGAATTGCTGAATTTAAAACTGCAGAAAGAATAAATAATATTAGAATATCTTCAGTATCCCATAGGAATGGGTAAATTTTATGGCTGCAGAATGCTCTTTTTCCCTTCTACTTTTTTAGCCTCCATAGGACACAGGCCATAGTAGTAACATCTCATGAGAGAATGGGGCAAGAATCCCATTCATCCACTCACTTGAAAAAAAAAAATTCTAGGTTTTTGAAAGTGTAAAATAGGTATACTAAGCCTATGGGTCTTAGTCCTGATTTATGTCTGATTTTGCATATTCATCCTAGATGCAGACAAGTTTGTTGGCTTGTAAGATAACTCTCTCCAGATGAGCTGCACAAGTCAGTTGACCCATTGGGTGATGACTATAAGAGGAGTACAGTATGAATGAACAAATGAAAGAAAGAATAGTTAGGTTCTGTATTGTGAAACTAAGAGAAAAATAAAGCATGTCGGGTCCTTGGATTCGCCTCTACTGATAATGCATGTCATTAATCTAAATAAAGGTGGTCTGATCTTGTGGAGGGGAACTGATAATACATACAGGGAACTGAATGTGTACGGTTAATTATGAATGAAAGGGCTAAAATGTATGTCGAAAGTGATAAGTTGCTGACATCTAGGCTGCTGTGGGTATATCCAAAAGTAGGAATCTATAGGCCTGGATATGCACATGTACACTCAAGTTAATCGTGATAATGGAAGAAACAGATATGAATTTTGGGGAAAATTGTATTAAAATTAATATTAAAATTAATATTCTGAATGAACATGATCTAACATAAAAAAATATTCTAAATGGATGTGTAGAAATTAATTGAGAGTGATTGGGCCATCTGACGATTCAAGGAGGAATGAGAATGCTGTTTAGTTGGAGAGCATCTCCTTGGAACAAGGAGACCTATTTTTTAAATATATGGTTTAAGCAAAGTTTATTCATACGTACTTATGGCCAGAGTAGGAATGCCAGATATAATCTGAAAGTATGATTGATTTATTATGTTGATATTATGAACAATAATATCAATTTGATCTTGAAAGAGCAAGAGAAATAGAGAATGACTGGGAAATGGTCATAAGGAAAGACAATGCAAAGCTACTTGGAACAAAATGAAAAGAATGTCACAAAGTGGCACAGACAGCAGTGTCCATGGGGAGGGCTGAGGAGATAAAGGCTGATTAAAACAGCATTGTGGCATTCATTACTATTCCTACCCCGAGTCACACATACACACACACACAAAAGAAGCAGACCTTGCGGTGTGACACTGCTTTAGTAATTCTGATAAAAGCAACAAATTCCTGCCAATGTCATTAACCATAGAAGGACAAGGAGTTACACTCATCTTAAGTATGAAAAAGGATGATTAGTGGATGAGAAAAAATGCATAGAAAACATGATGAAATGTATTGTATAGACTGAGAAAAAGAAAGCTGTAAAGAATAGTGAAACAGAACAAAGAAATGGTTAAGGTTAAAAAAAAGAAAAAAATGCAGAGTGAAATTGGAAAAAATAAAAATGGTTCCAAATGTGTGTGAAGAGGGCTAAACAAGGAGTCCCAACATAGTGAATAACGGAACAAACATGATGAAATAATTTGGGATAAAACCTGGATACGGGAATGTTGGAAGGAGTATTTAGAGACTTGTATAGGAGTGAAAGTATGTTGAATAGTGGAATTGAAACTATTGATGAAAAGTAATACATACATGTTGCAAGTGCTGAAAAATAGCAAGGCTGCAGGTATAGATGGTGTAACTGGAGAAAAGTTTAAATATTAATGTGGTTATAGAGTGGCTGTATGATTTGTTTAACATGTTTGTGAAGACCATGCCTGTGCTTAACAAATGGAAACATACTGTTATTGTTACCCTATACAAAAGAAAACATAGTAAGAGAATGCAAAAAATTCTGTGGAATTAATTTATGTGTGCCTGGGAAGATGTTTGGCAGAGTTGTGATTTCAAGGGTACAAAAATTTTTCCATCTTCTTGGATCTTCCTTTTTTAGTATTGTTTTAAATTTTGGATGTTTTATATGTTTTAGATATATT